TTTCCCCACTGTGGGATGCAGGTTTATCACAATGGATTTCTCCAAGCAACTCTCATTGCAGCCTCTCCTGACTTTTCACAGGCCTTCACTCCAGTTAAGCCAAGGCAACGTGTCAGGAGTCTCCCACTCTTTAAAAGTGCCCTTCCTGGGAGGCAAACAAATACCCAAGTCCCCCTCTCACACCCACCACTTGTGCTAACTGAAAATAACTTTCCACTGCCCAGTTTCATGGGCTGATGAATGCTCCCAAAGCACCCAGTCACCAGCCAGGGCTACTGCCTCTCCTGCCTGATCACATTCTACCCTTTCACAACTGAAATGTAAGACTTCTTAGTTATCAACACCTATGGTAAGTATCTGCCCCCTTCTGCTTCAGGGGCAAAAGTACTTCCCCCCCCACCACTTTATAGTTTCACCAGAGTTTATTTTAGTAACAATCAACTAACTCTACTCTCTTTGTTGTCCTTTTTTTTCCCTCTTTGAATCAATCCTTCTCTTACTTTGCATTTTCCTGTTATTTGTGCTAAGTTACAACCACTCTTGCTTGGATATATTATATTTATACACTCTGGAATAATTTTAAAGTTAAAAGAAGCTAATAGTTTTATTCTGCTGTACTTCAAAAATTCCAGCTTGGATAAAAAAGTCCCCCACACAGAACTCATGTGCCTTTTAAACAGCTGCTGCTGCAGCCCAAGAACAGGTAAAATGGCAGTTATTCCAAAGTGTGACTTTCATTTAAGTAAGTCACAATATTTTCAAAGTACTCAGGTTTAAAACCTTTCTTTGAAAGCACTGCCTATTGCTAGTTCTTAAAACCAATATATACTTCCAGAAAAACTGAATCACCACATCATCCATTCCAGATTTTCTATTGTAGCTGCAGCTGCCAATTTCAAAAATAAACCCTAAAAAGCAAGCAGTATTTTAATCAATGGGGCAACGTTATCTCAAAGCCGATTTTCTGGCTTCTACATAATCCCAATATAACTGCAGAAAAAAAAAAAAATCATCAAACCCAGAGCTGTTATTGTAAATACATCTAATAACCAGTTTGGATGTTTCCTGTATTTTGATTACTGTGGATCAACACAAGCAACAGAGCTGGGTCCCGGCACATTGCTTGGGACTGGAGCAGTGAGCAGAGCATCCAGGGAGCTGAACGGAAACTCCCCACCCAGGAGTAAAGCCGCGTTAGAAAGCGGCTCCGCCTGCTTGTTCCTCCCCCTCTTCCTGTTTGCACCCAACAACAAATCCCGTCTGTACCTCCAGCCCCAAAGGCAGCGTGACTGTGCTGTGTGGGGGATACCCACGCATCTCTCAAACTATTTTAAAAGCGAACAAAAGCCAACCCATGACAGAAAATAAAAAAAAATAACTGCTAACCCACTTACTGTTCAACTGCTCGACTCCTCCTGTTTCTTTGTGAGAGGAAGATGACTTGGGGGAAGCGCAGACAGCATTTAAACACGCGTTTTGAAGAGCTTGTGTAACGTTTTTCTGGCTTTTCTTCTGAAGAAGAAATTGTTATCTGCATTCCTAGAAGCCTTCTCCATTCACTTGTCAATGTTCTTCTTCTTTCTATAGGATGAAGTTCAAGCAAAGAAGTGCAAAACAGCCAACAGTGCATGTGGGTTCATCCCCTGGGTGTCGTGGCAGAGGTGCACGCTGCTCTGCCTCCTAGCTTAGCAGCTGAAAATCACTCACTGAGTCTCCCAGGAAGCAAAAACACTCTGGGAAAAGGAAATGATCCCTGAAAAGGCCTCCAAGGGCCAGAACCCATGCAGGCAAAAGCTTTGCTGGCTGCGGGGGAACAGCGAGGGACCACCTTGTCTTTGGTGCAATAAATGCCATTTAGAGAAGTAGCCACCAAGAGCCCTGTCCTGGGCAGTAGATGCAGGTGTGTGGCAAAGCCCAGAGCAGCAGGAGAAGGTGCTTCTACCCTGATCTGCCTCGGTGACAGAAGGGAGCCTGCTTTTGAGAGTTCTTCCTGGCCACAGGCTTGAGAAGCATTTAACGGGCCAGCTGGAAGATGATGCAGCCCAAGGCAGGGAGCTCACACCATGCCACTGGCTTTATCAGCCTCTTCGTGGAAGGATGCAACATCAAACCACCACAGTCACTTGGCAGGCACTGTGCTGGCACAGACATACTCCTCCGCAGCCATCTCCAGAGAAATGCATTCATGTCGTGTTAGAAATGAGGATCCCTCTCAGAGTTCAGGATCTTGCTTGTTAAGAAGCATCTGATTCGCACTTTACCTGTGAAATACAGAGATATTTATCACAGGTGTGAACATGTTTTGTGTTTGTGGAAACAGATATTCATAAAATAACATGTTGAAACTGCCGGTGCTTTTTCTTTTTATCAGCTGTCCAAAGTATGCAGAATTTGTTCTGAAGCAGGGCAGTATATTACAACAGTAATTCCAACCTCTTTAAAAAGTAATCAAGCAGGACAAGAAATAACAATATTATTTTGAAATATATTCAGGAAACAATCCCTTACAGCAAGGCTGGTGTTCTGCCGTCATCTAGAGGGAGAGGGTGGAATCATCTCCCCAGTGCTCTCCCACATGGAAATACTCATTCTTTCACCAAAGAAGTTCAGCCTGCACCCTACAGACCAAGGTTTCCGAACACACTACCCTTGTGCTTGCCCCTGTGTGTCTGTATATCCTGACCTATTAACATCTGAAGAAAGCAGAA